GTGAAGTATCCACTCAGTCACTCACACACACACCTTACTGGGAAACGAAGTAGTACTCACTCCACACTTAGGTCAGCTACACATTGTACTTTCTCACACATGCAATGCGCCAGATACTTCACCACACACTACCTCCCATTCTTCCCTTTTCCCTACACCAGATCACCATCTGATGTACCCAGCCACCTAGCGTACTCAGTTCCCCTTTACTGAGACGCAGAAGTTTGATCAGGACTTCTCTTCCTCCCAATTAATTGGAGGGCCAAAACCCCTTAGTGCACTTACCCTTAGCTGGTTCCCTGTTTATTTCTCTGGTCCCCCCCGGTCCGTCGCCGTCAGTGGGCAGGGTATCAGACAGACGAGACTGCTGCGTTCCCCTGGAAAAATTTTTCCAGTGCGCGCTGGGTAGGCACAGTTGTCCTCTCTCTTGTACCCCGCTCAGTGAGGCGAAGGGGCTGCGTTCCAGCAGACCACTTTATCCGAGTCGCAGGCACCATAAAATGTAGCATCCTGCTTGTGGTTAACGCTTAGCTGGAATGAAATATTCAACGCAGCAACAGAGAAATTAAAAAAATAATTTATTTGTCAGACAAATAAATAAGAGGCACAGTGGTATATGATTACCAAGCTCTGGCCTGCCTCCTGCCATTATGGCCAGCACTTATATTCCCTTAATCCACCCCCCTTTGTTCCTCCTGTGGCTGCCTCTGTTCAATCAGCCTGCTCGAATTTCCTATTGGCTGATTGCTATAACCAATCACAAAAATACACTCATATCCTCCTGTCCTTATATGGAACACAAAGAGCTATATATTGTTACATCTATAAATGACAAATAAGTATTAATATATCTTACATGCGTCTCAACAAGGAATCTTAATTACCAGCTCACCTCTTGCCCTCCTTGCCCTATTTGCCTTCTAAAACAAATGGTTAATCTTAAATTTTTATCTTAAACATATGTCAAGGATCTTGAGTTTCACATCAATATTGAAAGATCTCCTTCATTTGAAGGTTTCTAAACAAATATCTGACAACTTATATATCAGAATTGCTCGGATGGCGTCTTCTTGTCTGGCAGGGGGCTGGACTCATCTGCCCCCCTGGTCTCCTACAGCAATATGACTCTATGAAATAAGAATTTAACATTTCTTTCTTTCTAGATCCTTTGCATAATTACATTTAAGCCAGCATATTTCATACATTATCATAGATAGCTTTTTAGAAGGATAAACTTCCTAAAAGTAACAAGGAAGGAACAGTTTACAGCCTCAAAATAAAATAGGAAAAAAGCCTCTTCCCCTCTTCACACTTCCCCCCCTTCTCCAGCCGGTTTGTTTTCCATGTGCTCTTGGCCTTTTGACCTTAGGCTCAAGTTTAAGGCACATGGTTTTATTTTACTGTTTACCAAACTCTTAATTATGTAGGGTCTGTGTAACCTTGGTCTTCAGCCTGTAATTCCAGCTTTTACGACTTTGAGAATTGTTTTCTGCTATCAATCAAAGGGGGGGGGGCCCTTGTCTAGGAGGAAAAACATTGCCAAGGCTCTCTGAACAGCTGGTCTGCCTGGCATGAAACTTTTGAAAGTCTAAGCCCATTTACCTGATCAAGATATAAGCCAATATATGCCTTGATTAAAAATGCAGTCTATATTCAGATGCCACACTACGGTACCCAGGGACATGTTCATTCTTGCCCATTTATGCCTGGCTGCCTCTAAAATATGCATAACAGCCAATGTTTTATTGTGGAAGTCTCTCGTTTCTTTTGGGTACGTCCACAACACATCTCTAAAAAGCTGTGCGCTGGAAACTTTACTTTGAGCTGCCTTATAACATAACATATAGGGACGCGGGTGGCACTATGGGTTAAACCACAGAGCCTAGGGCTTGCCGATCAGAAGGTCGCCGGTTCGAATCCCCGCAACGGGGTGAGCTCCCCTTGCTCGGTCCCTGCTCCTGCCAACCTAGCAGTTCAAAAGCACGTCAAAGTGTAAGTAGATAAATAGGTACCGCTCTGGCGGGAAGGTAAACAGCGTTTCCGTGTGCTGCTGTGGTTCGCCAGAAGCGGCTTAGTCATGCTGGCCACATGACCCGGAAGCTGTACGCCGGTTCCCTCGGCCAATAAAGCAAGATGAGCGCCGCAACCCCAGAGTCGTCTGGACCTAATGGTCAGGGGTCCCTTTACCTTTTACCTTGTGTAATATTTTTATATATTAACAAGCTCGCCACAACTTCTTATGGGTCTGTGTGTGCCTTTAAAGCTGTTGGGTTTGGGGGATTTTCTGTGCAGCGAGCAAACACTACACAAGAGCTGAGTGGCATGTTCTCACCTACTGGCCGGTCCTTTCTGTACTTTGCCATAGAGTTTGCAGGATCAAAAAATCCCATCTGCTCAACTTGTTCCAAACTGAGATGTAGCATGTTGTACACAAAGGAGTGGACATCTCAGAAAATTATCAAGAAGCAAAATAATAATAATAATGCCTCTCACCGTTTTGTTAACGTAGGTGTAGTTTTTAGTGTTGAGCTTTGTAATATTATCCTTAGCAGCATCAGCAAAGCTAATGTGATTTTCATATATGGCACAATTACTGATGCTGTTTAGCTGACAAAGCTCAGTGGGAAATGCTGGGGTGCAATTATGGTGCATCTGAATGTGAGATGGAATGAGAACTACTAGGTTAGAAAGAACTGGACATAATAAAACATGGTATAGGAAGGATAACAACAACAATAATGAGTTTATCTCAGGAGCTCAAACCACTGCACACAAACACACACAGAGTCAACCCTGTAAGATAGGTCAGCATTATTATCCCCATATTGCAGGTAGATGCCTAGGTAAGAAAACTGACTTCCTTCAAATTCAGAATTAAAAACAGTTAACACAGATTATAGTCACAAGAATAGGCTGGGCCCTGAAAACACACATCTCAAGTCTCAGAGACCAGCGTATAGAAGTGCATCTTCAGCGCTTACCAAAAGCCAGGTTTACATCTGAGGAGAGGGAATTTGGGGGCTACCACAAAGAATGCCCTCTTCTGGGCCATCCCCAATGCACTGAACTTCTGAGGAAGGTGGAGCTACCCAGAGGGCCACCCTCTGCTGATCTCAACACTCTGGACGATCTGCAGGGAAGGATGCAACCTTCCACTTATTTGGGGCCTAAGTTGTATAGGGTTTTAAACGCTAGCATGAGCATCAAAGTGTTGGTGTTGACCTTTAAAGCCCTAAATGGCCTCGGCCCAGTATACCTGAAGGCGCGGCTCCACCTCCATCGTTCTGCCCAGACGCTGAGGTCCAGTGCCGAGGGCCTTCTGGCGGTTCCCTCACTGCGAGAAGCAAAGCTACAGGGAACCAGGCAGAGGGCCTTCTTGGTAGTGGCCCCCCATCAGATGTCAAAGAGATAAACAACTACGTGACATTTAGAAGACAGCCCTGTTCAGGGAAGTTTTTAATGTGTGACATTTTAATGTATTTTTGATCTTTGTTGGAAACTGCCCAGAGTGGCTGGGGAAGCCCAGCCAGATGGGCGGGGTACAAATAATAAATTGTTGTTGTTGTTGTCTTAAATTGCGCCTGGAAGCGGGTTGGTGGCCAATCCTGGGAACTGTAGTTTGTTAAGGGTGTGGAGAGTTGTTAGGAGGCCTCTAATCCCTCTACAATTCCCAGAGTTTTATGGGAAGAGGGATTGATGGTTAAACCACTCTGGACATTATAGCTCTGGGAGGTGAATGGGAGTCTCCAAATAACTCTCAGACCAACAAGTTCAGTAACAGACCCCATCACTGACGTTTCCTTAATATATCTATATCTGAGAGTGATTTATGTATTATGCCATTCAGCAAGTGAGGCTTTTAAATCTGAATTTAGGCCAAATGTGGTTTTTATTTTTGAAAAGTTGACTATTGGGTGCTGTGAGCTGGACCTTGTGAAACATTTCAGAGTAGTTGTTAAAAATTAATTGCGCTCTGCGGCGCTTGTGTGAAGTTGATGGCTGCGACGGGAGTCGCTGGAGGAGCTAAATTTTTGGCAGTTGCTTTCGCCTGAGAAATCGGTCGAGTCTGTTGCTCTGTTAAACGTTTGCCATAAAAACAAATGGAGTCTTTAAACTGCCACTTACTTTGAATTAAAAACGGTTGTAATTTCATGCAATCGCACACCCACCGATATTGCAACCTTTGTTAGCAAGCAGTCTCTGCTCGTGAATTAAAATCCTAAAGTCATTCATGGCACGAGGCTCCTGCCCCGCAAACCAGCAAGCCTTGTGTGGCGTTCCCTTCCTCTGTCGCACGCTTTTAGACTTGTGGAGGGTGCCACAGATTGGTTTCAAAGCGCATACATTGGAGACAGAAGGCCACAAGTCGAACCTCTAGCACATCCAGTGAAAAAGGATCAGAGGGCAGGTGGTGGGGAAACTCAAAAGGTCAGAGGAAAGCAATGTGGTTGAAATAATAATTCACAGCCTCACCTTTGTTACAAGTCTTCAACATGGCATCCAGAAATAATAATAATAATAATAATAATAATAATAATTTATTTATACCCCACCCATCTGGCTGAGTTTCCCCAGCCACTCTGGGCGGCTCCCAATCGAGTGTTAAAAACAATACAGCATTAAATATTAAAAACTTCCCTAAACAGGGCTGCCTTCAGATTTCTTTTAAAGATAAGATAGCTGCTTATTTCCTTCACATCTGAAGGGAGGGCGTTCCACAGGGCAGGTGCCACTACTGAGAAGGCCCTCTGTAATCCCTGTAATCCCTGTAATCTTGGCATTTGGTGGAGGATAGCCATGGTTTAGACCAGCCATTACGTTCAAAAAACGTAAATGTTTGGCTTATGCATTATAAGGCAAGCTCTAGTTTCAGGTTATTTCAGTCCATTCGCTTTCATCCCTGAAAACCAAAATCAAACAGCAAGCTGTCAATTCTGCTTTATAGCCGTGCTTCCCACCCGCCCACCCTTGATTTTATTTTATTTTTTGTCTCCTTCCAGTACGCCACGACAGGCTGCTCCCTGACACTCCACCATACAGAAAAACCGGAGCATGAAGACATTTGCGAATACCGCCCTTACTCCTGCCCGTGCCCCGGCGCCTCGTGCAAGTGGCAGGGCTCGCTGGAAGCCGTCATGTCGCACCTCATGCACGCCCACAAGAGCATCACCACCCTACAAGGGGAGGACATCGTCTTCCTCGCCACGGACATTAACTTGCCGGGGGCCGTGGACTGGGTGATGATGCAGTCCTGCTTTGGCCACCACTTCATGCTGGTTCTGGAGAAGCAGGAGAAGTACGAGGGCCACCAGCAGTTCTTCGCCATCGTCTTGCTCATCGGCACCCGCAAACAGGCAGAGAACTTTGCGTACAGACTCGAACTGAACGGCAACCGGCGGAGGCTGACTTGGGAGGCGACCCCTCGCTCCATCCACGACGGGGTGGCGGCGGCCATTATGAACTGCGACTGCCTTGTTTTCGACACTGCCATAGCACACCTTTTTGCAGACAATGGGAACCTTGGGATCAATGTGACTATTTCTACGTGTTGTCCGTGATATTTCTATGTAATTATTGAGACCATGTTGTTGTCTTTCGTTTCACTGACTGTTTTTATTTTTATGGTGTTCCACTGTAGCCCTCTTCAGGTGTTCCCTCACACCCTATTAACAGTCGCATGAGGGGAGAACAGGGCCCCAGCTCCCTGGCACACACGTACTCCGGTCATCGCGGCACCACCATCCACATGTTACGGAGGAGGACGTTCGTGCCAGGGAGGCAACTCCACGTGCGCAGGCTCCCCGATGATGTGGGACCTGTGTAATTGTTAATCATGTGAGCGGGGGATGCCCGAAGGGGACTTTAGGGTTCTTTCTTAACCGGCCGTTTTCTATCCTCATTCTCTCCTTCGCTGCCGCCACCACCTGCCTGTACCACAGAGTTTTTTAAAGCACAGTTAACAGGACAGTTAAGATGATTTTATCCTGTTAATCTGAAAGGAAGGGAGGAGATTTGTTTTTTAAAGAAATAGCATTATTTAAGGTTTTAAAAGGTGAAGGCGAATCCCTTTTCTTGACAAGCAAAACCTGGAATCGGAAGAGAAGCAGCGAAATGGACTTAAAGAGGCAGTTTGCACATGCAGAATGTGGGAGGTGGACTCCTTAGGTGTTCGAGTGCATTGTACTCCTTCAGACGGCAAGAGGGGCACTTATAAACAACAACAGCAACCCTTATAACGTCCTGTTCTAGCACAGCATCTCCCTGTTATAGTAGTGTTCTCATTTGCCAGGACTTTTTAATGTCTGAGTGTGGGACCTTTTAGAAACGTGGTTTATCACCTGCAACCTGAAATGTTACCAACTCATTCTGCTGCATTTGTGTGTGTAGCCGCACGAATCTGCTTCTCTTGATGATCTCAGTGATTGGCCTTGTAACAGAACAAAAGAGAGAGAAATTGGAAGTATGGTAGTATCACTTCTTAGCGATGCAGGAAGTTGCTGAAGCCTTAGCGGTTAGGCAACATGTCTCAGGCGTGTTCTTTTGCAGTTTCACACACTGAACAGGGGTTACCACTGTCATCTGATTGGTCTTGCTGTTTTGTCCTTTTTCTTCCCAACAGTTTGTTCCCCCTGCCCTCCAAAAAAGAAAAGAAAAAAGAGTTTCCATACACCTGCAAAATGTTTGACCCTCTTCATCCATCCAGTTCAGCAAGAGCTGAAGAGGCTCAACATTTTGTGGAAGCTGCTAACTTAACGTGGTGGCAAAAAACAAGATGTGTTTTGAGCAGTTTTAAAAATAGGTCCCACCTATAAATATACCCAGGATGTTTGGCGTACTTGACGTTAACATTGTAAAAGCTATTTTCAAATAACACAAGGAAAAGCGATGTGCCGATTCGTCTTGTTTATGTTCTTTGCTATCTAAGTTTCCTGTTGTTGCCATATTTACTCTAGTTTTTTAAATAAATATTTTGCAAAAATAATGTCCATGGGCTGTCTGGAAAAGCATTTGCGCATCCGTCATATCTTCTTCGGTGATCCCTCGTAGCCAAGTAAGATTGTCTTCCATAAACACGGTTTTAACACTGAGTGTGTAAGTGACTGTGGAGACCGATTCTGGATCCACACGTTCTTCCACAGTGGGGACATAGGTTTCCGGGCGGGAGTTGATCACGGTGAGGGTTTGCCAAGTGTGCCTTCTTCTTAGCACATTTCTCCCTTTCGTCCTGAGTTCGAGCGTCTTCAAAGCCCATGATACCTTTGGTAAAGGCTGTTCTCCAATTAGAATGCTCATAGGCCAGTGTTTCCCAGTTGTCGGTGTTAATGCTACGTTTTTTAGATTTGCCTTGAGAGAATCTTGAAACCTCTTTTGTTGACCACCAGCATTACGCTTTACATTTTTAAGTTTGGAATAGAGTAGTTGCTTTGGAAGACGATCATCAGGCACCTGCACAACATGACCAGTGCAACAAAGTTGATGTTGAAGAATCATTGCTTCAACACTGGTGATCTTTGCTTCTTCCAGTACACTGGCATTAGTTTGCCTGTCTTCCCAAGTGATTTGAAAAATTTTCCGGAGACACCGTAGCTTAGGGGCAGAGTACACACTCCACATTCATATGAGCCTGGGTTCATCACCTGGTATCTCCAGTTTTCAAAGACGTATGAGTAGCAGAGTTGAGGGAAATCCTCCTTTCAGCCTTGCAGAGCTTGCTATCCGGGAAAGTACACAATACTGATTTAAATTAGCCAGTATTCTGACTCTAAGGCAGCACATTATTTCAGTATATTTCTGACCTTTCATAACTACAGGGAATGCATATTAACTAACCTTGCACTAGACCCCAGTACTGAACTTGTGCCTGTGTTGTACACTTAAAGAAGTTGTATGGATTGCCAGAACAGTGCATGTTTGTGTTGGGGCAGCGCACTGTTCCACCTCTCATGGGTGCCTGCGAGTTTTCATCTGTAGCCTCAATAATCAGTGTGCCTGTCTACTGCTTCACAATAACGGTCGACTACCGTAGAGTCAGTAATACACTGGTTAGATTTAAATCAGGATTTGTTCTTTCCTGAATAGCTAGCGTCTCCAAGGCTGAAATGGCAGGTCCCCCACCCAACTCTGTACTCAAAGTACTGCTGCTTAGAAGAATACTGGCTAATTAATCAGTATTGTGTACTTTCCCAGATAGCACCTCCAAGGCGGAAAGGAGAATTCCCCAACCTGCTACATACGTCTTGAATGGGATACCAGGACCCAGGCCATAGAATGTGGAGTGTGTGCTCTGCCTCTGAGCTACGGTGTCTCTGAAAAATGCTTCAGATCACTAGTATGCAACCGTTTTGGTACATCATTGGTGGAGTAGAAAGCTTTGGGAGAAGGTACTCTGTTATGAAAAGGGCTTTAAGGTCATGGTGTTACAATGTCTTTCCTCTGCTTCTTGGGATCTACATGTTTGTCCATCTCTGCTCTGACCATCAGCCTCGATGCAATTTCTAAACCTGTCCTCATCGCAATAGCATTCACCAACCCAGTTCAGTCCGTGACTTGAGACTATTGGCTCCATCAACCAAAGCCTAATTTTGCACTAAAATGTAAGTCTGGGTCGTCTGCAGAGCATTTGGTAAGTGGCCGTATTGAGCATCTGCTCTGCCCGGCAGCGGAATGTCTATACTTAACAAACTTAGAGAGGTGGTTTGCACTTGTGAACTGTTCAGAATGTTCACGCCATTCAAAGAGCCAAGATTAAATGGCAGCGTTGATGCCCATGCTGGGTGTGAGGGTGGGGGAAAGAGACCTTTTAGGGCCTGCATTTTAATATACCACTCTCTGTGCCCGAGAGGAAGAGATTTCCCAAGAGGAGAGTTACTGGATCGCTGGCATTGCAAGACCTTGATTCCTAGAACTCTGTTGACACAGGAACCTTTAAATTATGACACAAGTGTCCCTAGAATAGCTACTGTACATTCCGAAAGTGATCTCACCAGGATATTGAAAGCAGACTCTTGCTAGCACAGCAACGGTTCCAGCTGTCATTTCCTAGGATGGTGTTTTTGTATTCCTCTCTGCTCAGGGGTCCAGAAGGATGAACATGGAGGTGTCTGTGGATTATATCGCCTTCTGGACATACCCATGTAGAGTTCCTCACTTACATATCTGAGCACATCCTACGGCATGAGAAAAGAACGCCAATAACTTCCTGGGCAGTGTCCACAGACCAGGCGAGTCTGAGCAAGCAGGGAAGTTGGCAGATCGTACCGAGAACAGGAAATGGTACAGTATTATGAACAAAGCTGACTGGCTGGCTGAGGAAGGGGGTCGCCCCATCATTAACAAACACATTGCCAAAAAAATTCTTTACATACAAATTGAATCTGAACATACGTTATTGCTGACTTTTTAACGCTGAATTCTGGAAATGACTAATGCTGTATCAGGCTAAAGATTTGCATGCAATATCTCAATCCTAGCACCGTTCAGAGGCAACGAAGAAATAATCAAGTGAATGTATTGATATGATTACATAAATATTGACAATGCAAAATGTTTCTTTTAAAAGGCAGGAAAAGCTCTCTTCCTTGAGAATCACTATACTTTATAAAATATTCATATTTTTAAAGAAGTGCATAAACGCAATTGCGAATAGTCCCCCAACTTAGCCCCCTACCCCAGGCAGTCTATTAAGTTTTGCCAACTTTGTGAATATAAGAATAAGAAATATTGATAATTTTTATGCTGACACATAATAAAATGTTGGGAGAGATGTTGCAGCAAATTGTTCGCCAAACGAAGGCTGGGGCTACAGATGATGTTGGACTCCAATTCCCATCAGCCCCAGCCAAAATGGCCAAGTCAGGAGGAAAAACAAATTCCAGCCCCTCTCCCCCCCCCCCCAAAAAATGATGGTCATTCATTACCATTCAAATGGTGTGCATGCACCGTGTCTTGTGATCAATTATGAGGGGTGGGGCTTACCTGCACCCCCCATATTTTATTCAAGTTGGTATCACTGCTCTGTTCATGGTCAGCATTTTCTAGGAGAATATAAAAACCTTTGCAATAGGCCTATCGTTTTCTTGGTCACGATAGCGTTTTCCACGTCATCTCCAAAGAAACCCGAGCATGTGCATCTTATCCTTTCAACCAAGCCTTCTCAATGGAAGTTGCTAACATGAATTTATTTATTTTTAATTGCAACCACCTATTTTATTCCATTGCGACTCCTCAGGTGTGTGCTGAATCCGGTGGTTCTTTGGACATAGGAGAAGTAGATTGACACCATTCATTCTGTAATAATAATAATAATAATAATAATAATAATAATAAATAATAATAATAATATATGTTTCGCCTTCAATCTTCCTACCTTTATTCACATGCTTAATCTTGTTACAATGAGTACACTCTCTTCTTTGTATAGCAAAAACAAAAAACTTTGCAGCTTAGTAAAGAACGGCTTGGAAACTTTAGAAATGTTTCCAAGTCGAACAGCCTCTAATTAGCAGGGAAAATGTTCGGTCCACTGAATAGAACAGAAACTGATTTTTCCATTCAGATGGTGAAGTTTCTGCAGCTTTGCTAGCTAACATGCACGCACATTTTGAAAACAACTTGTTAAAGCGTCTGGCAGGTTCTGTAACATGGTCTCCCTCCCCCTCCCCCGCTTTGATGAATTACCGGTATATAGTTGTGGCTTTCTCTGGGAGTTGGACAGGGGGACAGTGCGCCACTGTTGGTTCTGCAGGACCTCTCAGTGGCTTTCAACACAATTGGCCATGGTATCCTTCTGAATCACCTTGCTGGGATGGGACTTAAGAGATCCTGTTTGACAGTGGCTCTGTTCCTTCCTGGAGGGGAGCAATGACTTGGCCATTGGCCTGCCGGGTACCTTAGGGTTCTGTTCTGTCCCCCAAGGCCCATGCTATTTAACATTTACATGAAACAGGTGGGAGTGGTTGTTGAGAGTTTTGGGGTATGCCAGTGTCATGCAGATAACACCCAGCTCTATTTCTCCTTTCCACACAAATCCAAGGAAAATGTCTCTGTTCTAAACTGGTGTTTGTCATCAGTAACGGACTGGACGAGGGTGAACAAACTGAAGCTTAATCAGGACAAGAAAGTATTTTCCCCCTAAAATTGTGCCAGTTTTTTTTGGGGGGGGGGCTTTTCAAAAGCCTAGGCTTGTGAGGGGGGTGATTTCCCTATGTCACTGTATTTGACAAGGATGCTGGCAGTGGCACTGAAGGGGAAAAAATGGCTTTTAAGAAGCGAGTGATGGGCATGCTTTGATTTGCAGAACAAAAAGTTAAGTAATCTATTGAGAGCTCCAGATATTTTCAAGTGATCTGTGGGGAAAGAAAAGTTTAAGAACTAACTGCTAAAGATAGATCCTTCGCGGAATTCTTTCTGCTCTAACTTGGTGTGTGGGAAGAGACAAGGAAAAAACGGGGATATATATATGTCTTTGCATCCCCTGAGGCTGCTGTGGTGCAATGAAAGATGTAGTCTGCTGGCAGTGATTACTCTATCCTTATGTAAAATAAAAAAAAAAAGGAGCCAACAGAATTGAAGTAGATGGAAAAACACCCACTACCGTTCCGTGATGTGTTTACCACAATCTTATTCTTCTTCTTTGGCGATCACTTGTAGCTGAGTAAGATTGTCTTCCATAAACACGGTTTTAACAATGAGTCCGTAAGTGACTGTGGAGGCCAATTCTGGATCCACACGTCCTTCCACAGTGGGGACATTGGTTTCTGGGCGGGAGTTGATCACAATACTATAACCCCTGCCCTCAGTGTGTGTGGGAGGTGGGGGGCTGAGGTGTTGGCCTAGGAGCTGGAAGACCTGAGGTCAGATCCTCACTCTGCCTGGAAGTTCAAAG